CACTTGCCCGCTTCAAAAACTGGTGCAGAACGACTTTGCCAAACCGCACCAAACGCAGCCGCACTGCCACGCCCCACCGGTCCGCAATGATGAGGACTGTACAAACTAATGCGCCCTTTTTCAGGATTCATGGAAGTTGGAAGTGTATAGCAACTTCGGTGGAGAATGTCGTAGCACGGAAATGCAGTACTTGTACCCAGAACCCCAGATAACCCTAGTTCGCAAGTTTATGTCGACTCTCATAAAAAGGCAACAGCACCAAGTTGGCGCTCAAAGGCGCGAGCATCGAAAATGAGTGTCATCTTCATGATCAGGGTATCGAACAACACCAGCATACCAAGTTTCAGTAGAAATTCCGAGTTTTCGGAGTTAGAGTAGTGAATAGTACAAAATTCATTGGATATTACAAACACAAAGGACACTAGTGATATATCGCTGACCGGAATTACCTGAATAAGTGTGTCTGTGTGAGTGTCAACCGCAGCAGTAGCTTCGTCCAGTACTAGCACTCTAGACTTCCTCAGTAGTGCTCTTGTTAAGCATACCAGTTGGCGCTGACCGACACTGGAAACGAAACTATCGAGTGAAGCACATATTTATTCCAAGCACATTCCGCGATTGCGGTACCTAGGTTTTCTTTTTGGGAGCCTGAGCTTCCACACAACGGCTCAGAAGCTAAAATAAAAGTGTTAGTTGGTCTATCAATATACAGAATGAAAATTGCGGAATGAGCCTTTGTCTGGACGTCACATCAAATAAAAGTTAGATTAGTTATAGACCACGGACTGTGAAGCGAGACACATGTAGCAAATCAGTTACCTTATATTTTCGCCGGATTCATCAATTTGATGTTGAATTCCTAGCGGGAGGCTCTCCACGAATGGCTTCAAGTTCGCCAGTTCAATGGCCATCCAGAGCTCCCCGTCGGAGTACTTCGAAGTGGGATCCAAGTTGAATCGTAACGTGCCGGAGAACAACACAGGATCCTAAATGACTACGTTTTAGTTACTCGCTTTTAAAGATATTCTAATGATTTTGCATATATCGCTTCCGGCAAATCCTAATGTACTCAGACGATATAAAGCTGAAGTGGATGTGTGGATGGGCGCCACTGGATAGGGGCGACGAGAAGGTAAAGCTGTAAGCAAAATGCTCGTGTGTGTTTCTCCAGAGTTGAATAGCGAGCAGTTCTGAGAACACATAGATCGAGAAGGATAGAAAGCTTCTCAACCATGCGCTACGGTTGCGGTACCAGTAGGTCTTCTAAAGCGGTTTACCGCTACCATAAACATCTCTGACTAGTAATTTCAGAATGACATGAGAATTGTGGAGCAGAAGCATTGTGTCAAAGTTCTTTGGGCAAAACTTCCATGGAATAATGCCAGAGAGTGTCTGTCTCATTTCGTGCTTTTGAGTATGAGCCATATTTTCCAGTCAGCGTGCATCATCTCTTTCGCGAAGTCCATTAAAAGTGGCGTGCTTAACTTCAGGAGAAATTTCCCGCGATTGCTGATTTTTCCTTTTCACAGGTGCTATCTATGGCCTAGATGGAGAGTAGCGTTAGCGCTATTAATCGAGGTATTAGGTTGGTGCATAAGTTCTTGGCCACGTGTTTGATCCTTCCGTATTTCGTTTGCATGGATGTTGGTATATCGTCATCACGTGTGCGTGACGTGGGCACTATACTCTTTTATCACACTAGCTATCACTCACCCACCTTGCATTTGCAGGCCACAATGTCGCACAATTTCCACTGTGACAAAATGTACCTGCGCCACTGCCTGGTTTTACTTCACGATTCACAAAAGAAGTTCCACTTTCTCAACTCGATGATCACTGGAGATGAGAAGTGGGTCCTCTACGATAACCCTGTGAGGAAGCGGCAGTGGGTCGACAAAGGAGAACAGCCAGAAGCCACCCCAAAGGCCGACCTTCACCCCAAAAAGGTTCTCCTGTCCTGTTGGTGGTCCAGAAGAGGCATGGAGTACTGGGAGCTGCTGGAGAAGGGACAGACGATTGACGCTTCCACATATGTTACCCAGCTGCGCAAATTGAAAGATCACGTCGACCGTACTCGTGGATCGAATGCGGAAATCTACTTCCACCATGACAACGCCCGACCTCACACCGCAAAGGCGACCCAGGCCGAGCTGGAGAAGTACGGATGGCTGATGGTCGCCCACCCTCCCTACAGCCCTGACCTCGCTCCTTCTGACTACTGGCTGTTCAGCCACCTGCAGCGCTCTCTGGACGGAAAAAAGTTCGAAACAAAGGATCAGGTCAGAAAGGCACTCGACGACTTCTTCAAGTCCCAGCCCCGTCGTTCTGGAAGGAAGGAATCGACAAGCTGCCTGAGCGCTGGCGTCGAGTAGTGGATGGTGATGGTGCATACCTCTAATCTTCAGGTTGGTTCGCTTTTGAGATATTTACGAAAAGTCGTGGCTAAGAACTTATGCACCAACAATAGTACCAGGGCACATCATTATGTAGTTGGAGATTTCGGTCGAGCCGCTCCCCCCTAGTTCCTTCCTGTGAGGGGACCAGAATCCCTGGAGGCAAATACGATCCCCTCTCAACAAAGAGCAATTACAACCCCTCCCCCTTCACAGCGTCCCTGAACTACGAAAAATCAATTACCAATTTTTTTCGGACGAAGTACGGCTCCCTGTTGGGGAACCCCAACGATGATGTGCCCTTATTGCTACCGAAGTCTCTGTGGGGAGTGTGGGACTGACACTGTCATTTCACCCGACCCGACGATATATGTAACCATCATCTTCTGTTCTTATTTTGCAGCACCTCCAATGTTATCCGCATCAGGAAATTGCGTTTTACTTGTATTTGAGAGCGCAATTAAAGGACTTGGCAAAGTGCCAAGGAGCCGCACGCGACACGCGCGCTTACGACGGATGTTATGAAGGACGGGAATCTGCGCCGCAAAAAGGTGTAAGGCGGAGCATGGAGGAATTAGCGTGTTTCACGGTCCTGTATCTCCATTCCTGGGCATTTGGGCGGGGGGACCACGACACATCGACAGCTGGGGGGCTGATAGTCTCATACACCCTCAATGTGTGTGAGCGTACTATGTGTCTTTAAAGCAAAATACACACCTGAGGGAATAATAGTAAGACGCTCCCTGAGGTCATGCAGGCCTACTGATGTTATGTCAATGCCGTCTAGAAGAATTTTGCCGTCCGCAGGCTCGACGATTCGGAATAATGCAAGCGTCAATGAAGATTTGCCTAAATTTGTCACGAAGCGATTGGTTAGCAAAGAGGGTGAAATTCTCACTAAGCTACAAGGTGTACCAACCTGCACCAGTTCTCCCGACGACTCCAACTTTCTCTCCAGGTGATATATGAATAGTGACATCCTTCAGAACAAGGTCAAGACCTGGACGGTAACGGGTCGAGTAACTTTCGAACGACACTTCACCATCACTAGGCCAACCATCTGGAGGAGGGAGCTGTCCTCGCCACGGTGCCTGGAGAGAAAATGAAACGGTTTTTCTGAAAGTTGCTGTGAGCAATGGCAGTTTACCTCCACGGCTGTTTCAGTGTATTCTTTTATTCGCTCGACTGCGACAACGTTTGTCTCTACTTCACTCACTTGACGAACTAGAAGGTTGAGCATGAAAGTGATCTGAAAAGGGGGACGTTTTGCTTGAAATGGATCGTCTGCCTTGTCGGAGCGAGCTTGTCTACTATAGTGTTCAACCTAATTTTGGAACTTACATTCAAACTGTAGGAGACTGACAAACCGATGGCACCAGCGGTGACGGTACCCCAATCACGCGATATCACAGCCAGTAAAGCAGTTGCTGGAAGGTGATATTTAGTTAGAATAGTAGCATGAATTATTATCCCAGGATTTACTGATGGAATGACACTACAGCCAGATGTTATATGTGTAGGCAGGATTTTTGTAAGGTGCATACCCTTACCAGAGCACTGGCCTTCCCAAGAGTGCCAGTAGTTCGCTAGCTTGCACAACTGAAGGTAAATGCACGGATCAAGGTGGAGAATGGAATGGACTTCTAACGCTTCTCTCCCTCTTTCTATGCACCTTCCATGACTTCTTTTTACGCTAAGCCAGGCTTCTACAAAACATTTCACATGATTCAAGCTGTTATTGTTTGATAACTGCTGTTTAACGCCGCAGTACGCGATCCGAAAGTTATCACAAGAATGCTGAGTTGTGGGCAAAAGTCGAACCCGCATCTTCTGCTTACCGGGCAGTTGCGTTCCCTATTACGCTACCGAGGCCACTTTTGACCACTCAGCTCAATGGCTATTTGTGCCATAGCCTTACAGCACTCACACGTTCAACGTGATGAGCCGGTTAGCCGATATCGGCAGTGAACCGCAAGGCGGCTTGGCCTCGGTAGCGTAATAGGGAACGCAACTGCACGGAAAGCAGAAGATGCGGGTTCGATTCCCGTCCGACTTTTGCCCATAACTCAGCATTCTTGTGATACATTTCACATGAGAATTTATAACCCCTCGGGTAACCCTTCCACAACCATATGGTTTTAATGCCTGGTACTATTAGGAGGTCTGCACTCGAGGCCGAGGTGATGCAGAGGTAAACGGCACGCTTACCGCGCACACGGTTTAATGCAAAATCCCAGATTACCTCCCGCCCAGGCCAGCTGAGCCTTCTATCCTCCGGCTACGGTGGATTGGCACCATATACGTCTGGAAGGATGAGTACCGATTTGTACATCGCCTCAACCCAGCCAGTCATTGGGCTAATGCCGTTTGGACTCCAGAAATTTCGCTCCGAGCTCATTTTAAAAGTGGCAAGATCACCAAATCCGCTAAAAACTTGTATATAGGGGTAATTCAACATCCTGATCACGAATATGACATTCATTTTTGGCGCTGGCGCTAATGGATGACACTACGGTTACCTGCGCTCTGCTAAGGCTGAGCCCAGGAGGTAATCGTAGTGTCCTCTCTTGGCGCCAGCGCCAAAAATGAATGTCATATTCGTGATCAGGATGTTGAATTACCCCTATATACAAGTTTTTAGTGGATTTGGTGGCTTAGGCAATTTGAAAATGAGCTCGGAGCCGAAATTTCTGGAGTCCAAACGGCATTAGCCGTCATTGTGTAGGTCTCATCGCACGCGATGTCCCACAACGACTCTGATTGGAAGTAGAATGTGTGCCGCATCCATAAAAAGGACTGATCAACAAAGACTTTCACCCTTATTCAAGACCAAGAGGTCTCAGAGTTTCTATAGAGTCTATCTGACAGACTAACCATAGTCGATTACAATCGTGCAGTGCTCTACAGAACTCATTTGTACGGTTCATGGCGAAATTCTTGTTTCCGCTAGAGCGCTGCCCTTAGCTCGTTACGGCAATCATGAACCTGCTGCACTCTCAGGAAAGCGCCCTAGGTAATGCTGTAACCAAAGCGGTATCTTGCTGGCACTCTTGTTTAGATGCCTCCACAAGCGTGTGGTACAGTTTTGTCACTGGTTGGACCATTGCACGACCCGCTACGCATGGTAACTCCTTTGGAATTGTGAATGGAAGGCGATTTCGGTGCCACACTTAACATAAGTGGCAGGACTTATCAGTCCCAACCACTTCACATCCTACACAATACCTCTTGCATGAAATGGAGACCAAGCGCTCACCAAGAATTACTGTGCTTCCCAATATCTCCAGTCGCACTGACAGCCACCGATTTGAAATCAAAGAGAGGTATGAACATCGTACGTGCTTCTCCAACTGAAAAAGCATTTAATTTCTTGTCTCTGGAAGAAATGGAGACTTAAATCAACGGAAAACGCTTTCACAGAAGAAATCAGTGGGCATTTGCAGCAGTTTCACAGAAAAATCAGGGGGCATTTGCAGCAGCTGCGAAAATCACGTCAGGAAAATTTTGCGGAGCTCCACTAATGCGGTATTGTCAAGTTGTAATTGTATTGTTGAGCTGAGCACAAATTTCTCAAAATTTTCGAAAATCGTAGCCGAGTTTCTGAGCTGGGGCTAATTCCCATTAATTGTATCGAAGCTGTCCAAAATAGTGATCTAGGAGATTGTTGTTGTGCTGAGTGCGAATATGGTACTCTATTAAAGACACACTCCCTTGATGCAGGTCTCAGGTGTGCTGGTCAAAACATGACCTTTTTAATTCTTAATGACCTGCCAGTGGAGAATGATGCAGAAGAAGCTGTCGAAAACGCCCCAATTAGAGCCCGATCGGCCTCCAATACTTACATTATTCTAGCTTCTGTTGTGTCCTTGCGAATAGGCAGCAGCAGAATATTTATTGGAAGACAGTAGAATAACAACTAGCAAAATCACCCGTTTATATACTCCTCTGCCTGGTCAAAAGATCCAGTCAAACCAGGCAGATCTAGTACAACACAAGATCAAATACCTACATGTAATAGATCACAGTGTCCCCAACACCTCCCCCCTAAGATTGACGGCTGCCGTACGATTTAGCGTACGGGTCAATCTGAAGAAATTCTGGAGGGCGACGAGTGCGGCTTGATCGTCGTCTGGCAGCGGCAGGAGGCACTGTAGTCGTTGTTGTTGTTGTTGGAGCAGACTGAGATGTTGTCGAAGTCGTCGTTGAAGATGAAGGCGATGTGGCGTTGAATGGTAAGTCGAAGGCGCTCATCAGCTCTTGTGTAGCTTCCGTCGATGCACGTGGAATTAGCTGGTTGGCGTGGCGTCTCCATATGAATCCATTGACTTGAACGTCGTACACAGTGCGTCCACGTCGGCATAGGTTCCGCCTCTGAGTCCTTGTTCGGATCGGTAGTCACGAGCGTAGACCATATCTTCAGGTTGGAACGTCCTGGGTTTGGCTCCATAGTGACGGTTGAACTGCTTTTCCATTTTCGTGTCCACAACAAGTTCTTCCTTGTTGTCCGGCTTCAGCAGATCCAGTGTGTTGCGAAGGCGTCTTCCGAGGAAGTTTTCTGCGGGACACCTTCCGTTGGGCGAAGCGGTGCAAGGCGTATTCCGGTATGTGAAGAGGAATGTTTGGAGAGCTTCGTCGGTCGGTCCGTGCTTCTTCAGCTTTCCGAGCGTGCGCTTGAATGTGTCCACGAAGCGCTCAGCTTGTCCATTGGACTGGGGGTGGAAGGGCGGCGACCGGATATGCTCGATTCCTTTCTTCTTGCAAAAATCCTGGAACTCGGCAGCGGTGAACTGAGTTCCATTATCTGAGACGATGATGCGAGGAAATCCGAATTGAGCGAACAAGCGACGGAGTTCCTTCAGTGTGGCAGTGCTGGTTGTGGAAGTCATTGAGATGACTTCGGGCCATTTGGAGAATGCGTCGACGATCACCAGGTACGACATTCCATCGATTGGGCCGGCAAAGTCGATGTGGATCCGGCTCCATGGCGCATCCGAACGAGGCCAAGAACAGAGCGGTTATTGACTTGGCGGCTTCTTGGCAATCGTTGCAGGCACGGATGAGTTTCTCCGAATCCTCGTTGATCCTTGTCCAGAAGACAGTGACGAGCGAGGGCTTTCATTCGGTTCACTCCTGGATGTCCCTCGTGTAGCATTTTCAGAACAGACGGCTGGAGTGCTGGCGGGATGACGATGCGGCTTCCAAAGAAGCATCCTTGTTGTGTTGAGAGTTCGTTGCGTAGATGGGCGTACCTCGCAACGGTACGTGATGGTTTCTTCGGCCAGCTGTTGTGAACGATATGGTCCATGATCTGAGGCAGTCGTCTTCAGCTGTGGAGTGGGCAACCTCTCTGGCAGTGACTGGTAAGCGGCCCATGTTCTCGGCGAAGATGGCGTTAACGTCCCTAGCGATATTGGCGATGATCACGTCTTCTTCCGGTGGCGATTGCATGGCGATAAGACGAGACAGTGCGTGAGCTTGTCCGAAGCTTGCGGTGTTGCGGTACTCGATGTCGAAATCGTAGGCGAGCATCGTAAGTCTCCATCGTTGCAATCGGTTGGCGGAATAGGCAGGGACTCCTTTCTTCAATCCGAA